GGGCCTGGCGCCCCCCGCGGGGACTGCGCTGGAGACAAAGCCCGCGCGGGAGCCGCGTCCGCAGCGTCGGTAAGTGGCAGGAGTGGGCGCCGCCGCTCGGCGCGGGGGCTCTGGGCGCGGAGGGGTGCCCCGCTCGGGGGGCACGGTCCGAGAGGAAAGAGGCGAAGTGGATCAGGATGTGTCCGTGGGGACTGCCCTGGCCCAAGGAGCTCCGAAACTCGGGCTGGAAAGTCTGGGAAACTGGAGAATAGGTGGCGGCGCCCGTGTCGTCCTGAGATCTGAGCAGGAGCACGCGGCGCTCGCGCAGGAGAGGCGCAGATGCGCACCTTCTCCGGTGCCGGTGCCCGGCGGGGCGAGCGCCGGCGCTCTGCCACCGGGACCCTTCCCACCAGACCCGAGGAGAGCCTGTCGGAGGAGAGTTTGGGTCATCCCTCTGGGAAGGGATGGAGGGTCTTCCAAGGTCTAGATTCTCCCAATCTCTCCGGCTTGACGTGGTGGGCGAACACTTTTCTCTATGTGGGTCACGGATCGTTTGCTATTGTGCTCCCGCTGCGGGGACTTAGTGGAAGGAGATGGTCATTTTATTTGGGAAATGTTTTTTTGTGTGTGTGCCTGTAGAAGTCCCCTTGTTTCCCCAGCACCCCAAGACACTCGCTTTAGCAACGATTCCGATAGGGACAGTGGACGGAAGGGCAAGGATTTGGTTTTGGGGTGGTTTTTTGTTTGTTTCATGGCGTCTGTCCCCAAGGCTGGTGCTGAAATGTACTGCGTTCTCAGCGCACGCACCCAGCAACCTCCAAGGAGCTTTGGTTTGTTAAACTGCCTCACATAATAGCACTGGGGTCAGAGATACGGTTGGGGAACAATCTTTAATTTAGATGCTAATGCGGTGTATTTGGGGCGCGGGTGTTAGGAAACCTTTGAATGTTAAAGTTTGATCAAGTGATAAAGTGGATCCAGGACACGGGGTCTCCCATCCTATCTCCCAGGTCCTGCCATTTGCTGGTTTTCCTCTCTCTCCGTCACCGCCCACAAATTTGTAGCCTCTAGCGCAAGGCAGGGCGTTTGAGCCAAGCAAAAGGCTGCTCGCTGCGCCTGTGAGGTGTGACGCTTCCAACACTAGGCCTGGATAATTCAGCAGGAGTGAGGAGACTTCAGCCCAGGGATTGGCTCCTGAATTCCTTCAGCAGCCCCTTGTCTTGATTTTTCTGTGCGTGGAAGGGAGGCACACTGACATCTGATCTGGCCCTGGTCCTGCAAGAGGCTGTGTGCGAACAACTGAGGTGCTGGATGGAAATAATCTTGGAGTACTGACAAATGAACCAGGGTGCATTTTAAAATGGTGGCGTAGGGGTTACGCATTGGGCTGCTAACCACGAAGTCATCGATTCGAAGTCACCAAGCGCTCCGAGGGAGAAAGATGACGCTTTCAACTCTTCTAAAGAGTTCCAGGAGCAGTTCTACCCTGCCTAAAGGGTCACTATGAGTTGAAATCTACTCAATCGTACCAATTTAGTTTTTTGGGGGGTTGGTTGGGGCTGGCTTAATTATCAGCTATAAGTGATGAATACGGTATGTAATAAATCGGCAGGGTTTATGTAAATACCAGTTTTATTGTGATTTTTGACAGGTGATAACAGAGGTGACACTGAATGAAAGGGCAAGGGTTTGGTGTCCTCCTCCACCCCCTTTATGACCTCTGTCCGCAAGGCTGGTGCTGAAATGTACTGCACCGCCAACGCAGGCACCCAGCACAGTTGAAGGACCTTTGGTTTGTTTATCTGTCCTGTGAAAAACCAAATAAAACTCACACCATCGAGTCAACTCTGGCTCTTAGTGACCATATAGGAAAGAGTATAGGACAACGTAGAATTGCCCTGTAGCTTTCCGAGACTAAATCTAACGCACTAGAAGGCCTCATCTTTCTTCTGAAGAGGGTGGTGGTTTCAAACAGCTGACCTTACAGTTAACAGCCCAGTAGGTGACCTTACAGTTAGTGGCCCTGTGTGTAACCGCTACCCCCAGGGAACTTGAGTATATAGCCTTAGTATGCCCTTATTAGGCTGAAATAACTATTTAGGACTCTGGCTCCCTCCCGTAAGCACTTGGAGCTGCACACAGCTCCAGCCCTGGGCCAGCAGAGAGAGAGAGAGAGAGAGAGAGAGAGAGAGAGAGAAGCGAGGGGTTGTTCCAGTAGTCCTACAATTACCTGTGCAGTTGCCTTTAACCTTCCTCATGCAAGTCAGCTGTGAAGAAACCTGAAAGAAGCTTTTGCCATATTCATTTTATTGTTTTTAGAATAGTCTCCGACACTTCTTACATCCCAGTGCATTCTTCAAAATGGTGGAGCACCATGTCCTCCCCCTGGTCTCTGGGGAAGCAAAAGTCCCATAACAGTCTCAAAATGACAGAAATGAAACACTTGAGACTAAGCATGATTGTGTACAAGGACACACAAACACGCACACACACACACACACACACACACCACTCGACCGATGCTCTCTGACAGCTAAATGGCTTAGAGAAAATTGTAGTCTACAACAGACCAATCTTTCTCACGTATTCATTGCCACCTCTCACTGTGACATTTTCCTTAGACTGTCTCTTTTTTGTTCTACTTGAAGGAGGATGTTAAGCGATGTGTATCAACAGATTACCCTTTTCCACATAGAATTTTGAAACAATTTCTTTAAAACATTACCGGATTTTTTTCTCAGAACACCCTTAGGAGCCTACACTATTATCTTATTTGATAGTTTTCCTTGTAATTTTTTAACTTCACACTAGGCTTACTCAGGTACAAATGGAGAGTTTATTATTCAGATAGAGAGATTATTTATTCAGTTAAACTAGAAACCAAATTTAAATTTCTTTAAGATTCTGCAAATAGAAATATCTCATCAACACTGGCTAGAAAGGATCTTTTAAATGAAAACCAGAAATTAAGAGTGTAAGGGGAGGGGGGAATATCAATTGTAGTGTAGAAATTATCATAGTACTATGGAAAAGGGTAGCTGATTAAAAATATTTTAATAATAAACCAAAAATATTAAATAAAAAGAAAATGTGAGTAAAATTTCAATTTGAGGAAGGCAGTGCTTCTTATAGCACTTAATCGTAGCCCCAATCCAAGAACAGTTAGTTCTTATGACGTGACCCTTCTTGATACCTGGTTTCATGAAGAGATCACTGAAGATATGGATGCAGTAGCAAAGTGTGGTGAAATCAGATGGTGCTCAGCTATCAGGAAGAATCGTGTCTGATCTTCAAGGCTTGTCTTAAAATGAGCAGCCATCTCAGTGAGAGGACAGCTAAATTCACAAGGAAGAAGCACACCAACTGTGTGATCCAAAGATTGTAAGTAGTAGAATCAAAATCCAAGACTAGGGGAGAAAATTATATCAGAGCTTATTTTCTGAGCACCCATTTGCAGAAGGTATGGACGACAGAGGAAACCCAAAATCTGTTTGCAGGATCCCCACTTGGAACAAGCCTCCAGTGAGTCCCCTCTGACAATTGACTAGGTAGGTGAATAGCTTTGTTATCAGACCTGGTGCACTGGAAAACGGAATAATGCATATGTAGTAAGGGTAAATTTTAACACCTTATCATTTTTTCTCCCTTTTGATTCATTTGAAATTTGCTCTGACTTTTATTGTCTTCTGATATCTTTTCAACTGAGGTTTTCCTGTGTTTTATTTTGTATTTGTTATTGGGACTTTTGTTCTTTATTTTGTATGTTTTTCGGAATATGAAATCCAGGATAGGTAAATCTATAGAAACTGGAACTGGCTTAAGAATGTATTGGGCAGGGAATTGGGGGTGGTTGGGGAACTGATAAGAATGAGTACAAGAAAGAAGAAAGTGTTCTAAAATTGATTGTGGTCCCAGTTGCATAATTATTTTTTTTAATCATTTTATTGGGGCTCATACAACTCTTATCACAATCCATACATTTGTGTAAATCACACTTATTCATTTGTGTAAAGCACACATACATTTGTTGCCCTCATCATTCTCAGAATTTGCCTTCCACTTGGGTTCCTGGAATCAGCTCTTCAGCATAATTCTTTTTAATATGTTTGAACTATTGGAACTGTATGTGAATTGAACCATATGTGAATTATATATCAATAAACTGTTAATTTTTTAAATAAATACAACTGAGAGGGAAAGTTGCAACCAAGGAAACAATGGGTATACCAAATGCGATCAATTCAGTAAACTAGCTTGAGCATTACAGATCACTAATACTAGACAGCTTTTGTTAGGTCAAATGGTAGCTGCTGTTCAATCAGCTCTCCTTTCTGGAACCTGCAGACAAAATGGAGGTCTTGTGCACATGGTGAGGTACAGACTTGTTGAGGGACTGTTCATTTGGAATGGGCCCTGGGAGTCCAAGGTATAGGAGGTATATGTACTAGTGGAGAAGGCATTTATCCCTAGTGTCCTAGGGTTAACGAGAATCTAAAAGCAAGTCAAAGGATTCAGGTAAGGTATTGAGACCCCAGTTCATAGGCCTTTCATTGCTGGATTCTGGACCCTGTCATGTGGAAGATCCCATCTGATCATCACATGTTACCTGAAAGTTTTCTATCATGTAAACAACAGTAGTGACCTCTGGGGTTCTGTCTGCCCAGCATTGACCTGGGGGAATGTTCAGGTGGATGATAGTGAATTTCTTAACTAACCAAGGAAACAAAAACAAAATAAAACCTACACCAGCAAATCAAATCCAACTCATGGTAACCCATGTGTTACAGAGTAGAACTGTCTTCTAAGATCTAGGGCTTTCTTTCTTTTTTCTTTTAATAACAGTTTTATTGGCACATAATTTACATAGCATACATTTCATAGTTCAATTGTTCAATCATATCAAGGAAAAAATCGTGCAATCATTACCATATCAATAATAGTACATCCCTACCCCTTCCCACCGTTAAATCACATTTAAAATGAGTTGTGCAGTCACAGTTCTAGTGCTCCCTTCCCCTCCCGGCTTCATTTTTTCATTCCTGAAATCCCCTTTCCCTCCCTTTCACCCACCCCCACCCCTGCCTCCCCTA